TGTGTGAAAATTATGTGATCTAGTACCTTTATACAGTGTGTGCCATTGTAAAGACTGTAAGTCTACCCCTACACAACACAGCCTTGCTTTCATTTGTGTTAAATTCAATATGGTGTCTAACAGACTAAGGTCTGTGCTGCCTTGGAGTTTGGCTAAGATTGGTTTGCCACCTGAAATAAAACATAAAAGAAGAGGAATTTAGCTAAAACTATTAGCATATTTAGGATGACCTTTTGGAAAAGATGTGTGGAGTGTGCCTGTAGTTCCCTAAAATGCTGCCTAGATAGGAAGATTACTGCATTTTGTGACAGAGTAAAGAGTTTCAGAACAACATTGTTTTCTATAAGCATCACTTGAACTTTACTGTTCTCAAGGGGCTCTCACTGAGTTTGCTGGAAAGAGCCGAGACTCCTGCGTGGCATGTTCATGGAATACCTTCCTGTGGATCCTGTCTTGTCCCAAACATCCATGGGCTGGATTTCCTGCTGTGCAGCTCAGGGCTTTGAAAATGAGGTCCAAACTGCTCTCCAGAGAGTTCTCAGGATCAGGCCTCCGCATACTCAACAAGCCAAAAGGGAACAGCCATGGAAAACACCTCCTGTTACACCAGGCATGCTCCAGTTTACATGACATGCACACTCACTCACACATACGCAAACACGTGAACAAACACCCTAAACTTAGCTCGCTGTCCTATTTTTATACTCTTTTGTGTTCACACTCTTGCACACACATTTTTGTAGAGACAGATCTACATGCTGTATTTTTATGGACACACCTGATTTCCCAGCAGCATGTGTTTTAGACCTTAAGTGCCGTTTTTGGTAAATTGGTTGATTTAATATAAAAATTGTCCCTTTGCAAAGCGCATTACTCAAGATCTGTTTTTCATGGTCTTTAATGTCTCTGTTATGGGAGTCAATTGGGAACATCTGCAAGTTCCCAATAATTGCCTTAGTCATTCGAGGATGTTTTCCAGAGGTTCTGCTTAGCATTTGATGTACTTTGTCCATGATGGACAAAGTCAGACTTTCTATTTAAACAGTTACTCAGTGAGGTAAAAGAATAATGTTTAAATAAGGATAACTGGTGTGGTTTGTACTGACATTGCAAGTTCAAAGATCACTATAACAAATTTAATCTTTTCTGATGTTATTGTGCTTAGGTAAAGGACATTTCTTTTTTCTACTTTAAGCAGACTGAATTGTAGAATATCATAAAGAGTTGGTCTTCTGTCCATTTCTGATTTGTTGTATAACCGTTTGGCTGATCCTTTGGCACCACTTTTGCTTTTTATCAGAGAGCAGATGTAGTCAATGTGCTAATGAAGCCATAGAAACAAGCGACTTTGGCTGCTGATGTGACTTCACTCCTCAATCAAAAGGAAAAGCAAGGGAGGAAAGACATTCCAGATGTCAACAGTGAACTCTGCACAGCTCCGGTTTGTGGCCACAAGAGCTTTGTGTACCTGTCCTGCTAAATCCATTATGAATCTCCTGTACGTGGCTTCGCACAGCCAGAGAATTCTCGGAAGCCTTTCAATCAAGCGCGTTGCATTGCTCTTCTGCTTTGTGCCAGGTTTCTCTGGAACTTGCAGAATGTGACATTTACGTTAGCTAGCTGCTGTTTGGGAATTCCAGTAGCCAAAGTGTGGGAATCGCACTGAAGCCAGGATGCGGGAAGCAGTCTGACTAATATATTTCTCGATAGCAGATACACGCCATATAGCATTTTGAGAGATATTGATGTACAGAAAAGACTTCTTCATTCAAAGAGTTCTCCATTCGACTAACAAATGAAATGGGTTCTAGATGTAAATTGCGTTAGACTGAGGTAAGCCAGATGGAATAGTGTAGGGAGTAACAAATAGCAGGAGGTTTGGCTTCCTTCAAGAGAGCATACGCTCCATGTAGGTCTCTCTGGACTGCTCTCTGTAAGCCGCAGCAGGCGAACATGTAGCGTGTTGAATTTCATGTGTAATGTTTCAGGAAAAGGCCTTTTTTATGAGACCTGAGGTCTTGCAGAGTTGGTTGTACAGCTAGCATTGGTAGTTCTAACTATCAATCTATTTAAACCAAATCTTCAAGGACTTTCGCATTGAATATACTCATTTAGTTGGGAGTCTGTGTGTACATTGTGTGTTGTAATGCAGCAGGTAATCTGAGAGTTGAGGCTGTTTCTGCTAATTCTAAATCGCTATTGAAAGGCAGTATGCTTCATGCACCCTTCAGAGTGACATTGAACTCCAAGTATGGAAGGCCAAACCATGTGTATCAGGTGCCAAAACACTTCCTTTCTTTTTCTAAGTAAAACCATCACATTGTAAAGCAGTTGGTTTCATTAACGTGTGTGGCAACACGTCGTACACTGGTTTCCTCTAATGAGTATTGATATGCGGTGCACAGCGAACAGACTGTGTTCTTTCTCTTTGCGTATTCCATTAGATGTCCTGCTTTTATGTGCCAAACAAAATGCACTCTGCAGACTATCATGAGACTTCAGGAGTGTCATGTTTCATTGTCTGAAAGCTGTTGAACAGCAGCCACTTACTTTAAGAGAAGAACAAATCTACAAAGCGGAGGGCTTTATAGAGGGAAAATAAATGATCGCAGAAATCATTCTTGTAAACACAGCGTGCGCTGATACATTCATTTATTTAGCGTGTTTGTGTGTGGAAGCACTTTATGACTTTGCCTTCATGAAGGAAAGAAGCATAAAAAGGGTCAGTTGTGTAGTGGTGACGATTTATGTAAAGTACCGGTAGTAAGAAAAAGTTTTGTTTATAATTCTATATTAATTTCTGTTACTGGTTAATGGTTGTTAACTGTTGGTGTTTCCAGCAGGTTCATGTTAAGTTCTATTAACAAGCCACTGTGAACGTTTCTCTCAAGTAAATGGCGTCCTCTTGTGGTTAATAGTGGTAATGCAAAACCCGTTTGCTCCAAATTTCTGTGGATCAGAATTATATATTTTCAGGAATCATAATTGTTAGTAATATATCTCATAATATATTATTTTATTATAATTAATAAAATTATTTTATTTTATTTTGTTTTATTATGCATCTCTCTTGAATACTTTATTCTGAGTGGTCAACTAGTGTACTAGTTTCATGGCATTCATTTCACACTGCAGATTTGCGTCCATCTTATGTCCCACTCCCAGTTATTAGTTTGTGATGAAAATGCCTTCGTATGATTTTAGTATTATGACTGTTATGTTGTTTTAGTGTTTTCTAGGCAAACATTTTTTTTTCACATTAAGCTTTAAAGGGGTCATATGATGCTGCTAAAAAGAACATTATTTTATGTATTTGGTGTAATGCCATGTGTTTATGCGGTTTAAGGTTAAAAAAACACATTATTTTCCACATACTGTACATTATTGTTTCTCCTCTATGCCCCGCCTTTCTGAAACGCGTAGATTTTTACAAAGCTCATCAGTCTGAAAAGCGAGGTTTGGCCAGCTTTTTTTTGGCCAGGTTTTGCTCTGATTGGCCAGCTATCCAGTGCGTTGTGATTGGACGAATTCCTCAAGCGTGTGACGGAAATGTTACGCCCCCTACCATACTGTGATGCCGTCT